GGACTCTCAACCACTGCACCACCAGGGAAGCCCCCCCTAGTTATGTTTTTATTCTCCTGTTTACTTTCTGTCTCCCAGCTTTCCCTGGAGGTGTGCTCTTCTCTTAGGCTCTCACTCCATTCTCTTTCAAATGGAATCTATTAACAGAGGGTGGAAAGCAATCTGATACCTGTCCCAGGTCATTGACATTTTGAGCACTGGATCCCTCAACTGTGAAATGTAAGGACTTGTTCCCTGTAGAAGGCAGGTGAATAAAGGACAGAGGGATCCTACTGGCACCTTGAAACCAGTCTAAGAGGCCATGATGCGTCACTGTGGGTGTTGGAGTGTTGTCTCATCAGCCTCACAGCACTGGCATGTTGATTTAAGACAATAACCTTCCACAAGGACCCTCCCTCCACAAGACTGGCGCCATAGTCATTCTTAGTATAGAAACATTCAAGTGAAGGCTGACTTCAAAACAATCTATAAACTCTATTAATCTTTCATTAAACCAAATCATTCCTTAAAGTGTAACTTACATTAGTAAGTTGTTTTTCCTAGTTGTTAAAGCACATTATTAAATATTTTATAAGTGATTGCTGTCACTATGTCAGAAATATAAGAACATCAGGGAATTTTACATTCATTCTTAGGAAAGTAATTATGCAGTAAGTTTTAGAGAAAAGTAAACTGGTTTACAGTCACTATTCATTTATTTTTGCAAGGACTATTGCTATTTTAGAAAAATCATGCAACTTTAACTATGTACAATTGAAAACTAGATACTGTTACATATTTCAATTGGATTGTTCAATCTAATTGCCAATCACTGTAATTTGGGTCTAAGCTGGACTTTATAAGGGGCCATATTATTTTGCTCTAAAGACAGTGACAGTCTCTGGTTAAGGACGGCACACAGACCACACTTTGCAGTAAGTGATAAAGCCTCTTTAAGTTGTGAGATCTCTGCTGGTCAAATTCCACCGACAGAAGTTCCCTGGCCTACTCACTGGCTAGGTCAGTTACACTCACAGTGAGGTCACAGCACTGGCAGCATCAGAATTTAGTAGGAAAATTCTTGGGCCCCACTTCAGACCTCTTAAGTCAGAAATCCTGTGAGCAGTTCCTACAGCACTCGGGCCTAAATCAGTAGTTCTCAAACGTTAGTTAGTGTATCAGAATCACCTGGACACCCATTGCTGGGATTGACCCTAATTCAGTAGTTCCCAGGCAATGCTGATGCTGCTAGTCAGGGGACTACACTTTTCGAACTGATGACCTAGGCAAATGAAACACCATGTGAATGTTACCATGTTACTAAACGGAAGGTGACTCTCTGTATCCCATGATTTTGTTCGAGGGAACTTACCTGATTTCCTTTGGATGTATGCACATGTAGGGAAGAAAAGGGAGAGTCCATCCTTTAACACACACTTATGACACCTACTCTGTGGCAGGCAAGAGAAAGACAAGGACCACATCCTGGAGTTCACACCCTAGCAGGGGAAAACAACAATCAACAAATAAGAAAACAAAACATTTTGTTATGGCTATTTTACATGCTTTAAAGTGCTAAAAAGAATAAGTGCTGTGCTAATAAAGTGCCTAAGAGGGGAACCTGAGTATCTGGGGGAAATCAAGAAGTGATTTTTCAGCTTGCAATCTGAAGGATGATGTATTAGTTTTCTATTGCTGCTGTAACAAATTACACAAACATAGTGTTTTATCTTACATAATGTTTTATCCTACAGTTCGGTAGGATAGAATTTAGACACAGATCTCACTAGATAAAAATCAAAGCATCAGCAGGACTCTATTCTTTCCTGGAGGCTCTAAGACAGAACCTGTTTCCTCACCCTTTCCAGCCCCTAGAGGCTGCTCTTATCCTTGGCTCATGGTCCCCTCCCTCTGTAGCAACACCAGCAACACTGTATCACTCTTCAGGCACCTTCCTTTAAGAGCCACATTATCCTCTGACTCTCTTTCTCCTCTCTTGTCCACTTTTAAGGACCCTTCTGATTACACTGGGCCCACCTGGATAATCCAGGCTCATTAAGGTCGGCTGATTAGCAACTGTAATTCTATCTGCAACTTAATTACACCTTAGCATGTACACACAGGTTCTGGAGGTCAGGATACTGCCATTTTTAATGACTAACATTCCGCTTACTACAGGTGACATGAATTTAGCAGAGTTAAAAGAAGAGAGAGAACGTTCGAAACACATGTTGCTCTAAAACCAACATATGTGGGTGGAGACCCAGGGAATGACAGGAGCGTGACATTTAAAAAGGGGAGCGAACTACACTGTGACCTGAGTAAGAAAGTGAAGGAGAATATGGTGAAAGAGGAGGATGGTGTTTAAGAGACAGGGTCTCCAGAAGACATAAATTTACAAACAAATTAATTAAAATTAAAATTTTGGCAGAGGAGATGAATGAAAACAAAAAATAAGCCACCAGAATATGCTGAAATCTTATTAAAGCAAACATACCCCAAAACTTTTATCCATGTAATGAGCAGACATATCCAACTCTCAATTTCAAAGTGACTATTTCACTTTGTAATAATGGCTTATCTATTGCTGGGAATGCTTAAAGTTAGACTCAGTTTTCCAAGATTTCTGCCAGAAATATCAATAGAAGAAAGGTCACTGTTCTTGAGAGCTACGTGATAGGTGAAGAAATTAGGAGAAAGAAAAGTTTCCATGTTATCTTTCTTACCCAGGCAAACTAGTTTTTATCTATTTGATATGATAATAATTTTTAAAGGATAATTTATCATTATGAGCAAATGTTACACGGAAATTGCAATGTAGAAATATTTCCTTTCTGGCATCTAAAATGTTCTGAGAGACACCCAGGAAGATCATTGGTACATAAGATAATTAGTCTATTTTGCCCTTGGGAAGACCCTAGAAGGGACTACTATTCTGAGTCTAAATGCAGTTCTCTGTGCTAGAGCAGGGGCTCTTAGGCAGCCTGAAACTCCTGACATTACCTGCAAAGTTATCCACATAGGTCTATTTTCCCTGTCCATTGTTTTGAGGGAAGGAGATCGTGGCTTTAATCAAAGGATTCTCCGACTTTAAAAAGCATAAGATTTTTAGGGCAGTAAAACTGTGATGGTACAGTGGTAGATACTAATTTGTCCAAACCCACAGAATGTACACCACCAAGAGTGAACTCTAATGTATGTTACAGACTTTGGGTGATAATGATGTCTTGATGTAGGTTCAAAAGGTATAAGCATGAAAGCAGGAGCACCATCACAACTGATAACCACTGTTCACATGTTGGTAAACATCTCTCCAGATTCTTCTGTCCCTCTTTCTATCTCCACACACATTCACACGTGCACATACACACACACACAAGTTAAATGTATATATTTACATATGAATAATTCTTCATAGAAAGAATACTCAAAGTATGTTACGAACATGATTTTATGATACTAGCACAATTTATATATGGTTAATCTCACTGATGTTATTTTCTGTTGGCATTTTTTAATAATGATAAAATGAACATTATGGTGGCTACATCCTTTTACACTCATTTTCTCCTTGGGAAAAGTGTCAGGGTGTTATTTCTGCTTCAAAGTATAAAATAACTTAATCAACATCATATTTCAACATCAACAGCATATTTCTCTCATCAATCAGCCTTGGACTGATTGGTAGTAATCAGAAGGTAATACCTTCTTTTGAGAATTGCCTTTATTCTCATATTGATTGACATATTTCTCTTTTATTAATTGAATTTAAAAACTCATTTCAGATGATAATAATTTATACATTTTGACAACATGTATTTTCAGTTTATAATTTTAACCTTATGTATTAGCTAGTGTAGACTAAATTATTTAACAACTAGGCCTCTACATTTATAATGGCTCATTCAGTGAAGTGGTTTTGGGATCCAGGTGCTTTGATCTTGTGACTTTACTGTCAGCTCCTGCCTTATCTTCATCTACATCCAGCTGAGGTGGGGAGAGAATATGGAGGAGGTACACTGGCCTTTTGTAAATCTTGGCCCGTAAGTTAGCACGCATTAGTTTCACTTATATTTCACTGGCTACACTTAGTGGCAAATGGGATGGGGAAATTTAGTCCCTGGCTGGGCTGTTACTTCCCATCTACAACTGTATACTCTAGGAAGGATGAACAAAATTTAGGAAACAGATACAATTTCTGATACAACTTGGACCGTTTCGACAAGCAGAAGTTTTTCAGTTTTATGAAATTAAATCAAACATTCTTTTTCTTTGCAAATTACTTTCTGATTCATTGCATAGGACCATGGAGACTGAGCAGAATGTGGTAACCCAGAGCTCGCAACACTCTTCTCGTTGGGCTGGGGAGATAGAAATGAAGTTCAGAGCCTCCGAGACAACCAGGACTTGAAGGATCGAGATCCCAGAAAAAGAGGGGACTGCAGAAAAGGAAGCCCGCCCTTCTATAGATAACCTACCCTCAATGCATTTGCTGACCCCGAACCAGTGCAAGTCTTGTGAGAGGCTTTGAGAAACCATGCGGAAAGCAGCTTCCAAAAGGCTAAAGCTTTAAGCAAAGGACACAGTGATTGGATGGTTCCAGGAAGACTGAATTTTGAGTTTACCAGGGAGGAATGGCTCAGGCCCAGGAGGAATGAGAGCCTGAAGGAGCTGTGCTCCAAAAGTAAGGGCAGATCAAAAATAAAATAGCTTAACCAGATATAACTGCCTACCAGAATGAAATTAAATCTCCTAAAAAAATAATATCTGGTAATTCCACTTGATAGCTCTCTGCACCTGTTTATGACCAGAGCGATAAACTGGTTACAGGGAACCCGGAATGATTCACTACTTTCCCTTCTCCTCCCTTATCTTTTGGTTTCACTGAAAAAATGCTGGCTAACTGCTTTGGAGATGTAAGGTTGCTTTTATTTATTTATTTATTTATTTATTTATTTATTTATTTATTCATTCATTCATTCATTCATTCAGAGGACATGATTTGCTTGTCCTGCCATGAGTTAAGCAGCCTCTGTGGATTGTTAGAAAAAAGGTTTTCTTTCTTCCTTTTTATCTCCTGTGGGCCATGGAGATCCTACAATTCTGGAATAGTTGGTGGTTCATGTTTGACTTGGCTCCGGTTATAAACTGGAATTTTTACAAACCAAGAATTTATTATTGCCATTTAAAAACAAATTGTAAAACAAGCAATTGGTTTAGGTATTTGATATGAAAATATAGTCCCATTCCTTTATTTTAATGTTGCTATAGAACTGGGGGCAAAAATACATTCTACTTCTCAATTTTCCATGCTCCATACTTGCTCTCTGTCCTTAACACTAAATGTGCTAACTTCCTTGTTTTTAAATCACATTTTTAGTTTCAAAAAACTTATTTTTGTTACGTTCTACAAATACCTTCCATTTAAATTTTTTAGAAAAAAATCTAGAGGGAAAAAGCCATAGAAGCTAAAACTTTTCCTACTTCCAACAAATAAGAAGAAAATAAGTCTGCTTGTAGAAGGTGTTTTTGAAAAAAAAATTAGTTTCTAATTATATCTTGGTAAATAAACTTTATTTCTTGAGCAAAATGGGTTTTTAAGAAATATAATGTGAGATTCTGGAAATGGAGGGTGCAGCAAAAAGAGCATGCACCCTTTCTATCATGGTATTGCCATCCTATTGTATTTCAGGTTGTGGACAGCACATTAAAATTATATTGTGTGAGTGTGTGTGCAAAAAGTAAGGGTCCAATTTAAGTTCATTAGTGGCATCAATACAAATCCTCTGGTCTGAAATAGAATCCTGCCCCATTCTCTGACACACACAGAAATTAAGAGTATCCATGCATGTCAAATACAGCTTAAAATAGCTGGGCGTTTAGATAAACATAAAAACTATGTTCTATAAAAGTGAACTAAATCCTGTGGGGCATGTAGGAAAAAAAATAACTACTTTTGCTCTATGCTTTTGCCTTAAGGATATTCATGAAAGAGGTTTTTTTATTTTGTATTTATTTGAAACATTTCATAATTAGTCCCTAAAAGAACTGTTAGACTCACCATAAGGTAGAGAAAATAAATACATTTTTAAGGTCTGGATTTCTATTATATTTAGATTTTAAAAGTTTAAGCAAAGCTTGCTAATTTCACTCCATTCTTTTTGTAACAGAACCAGTTCACAAACTTGTGGTGCATCAGTTTGGGAACAGTTTTATTTTACCTGTACAGATTTCAATTTTATGGGTCTTTTACTTTTCAAATGTATAATATATAGATATGCTCTATCTTTATACTAACTCATTCCATTATAATTTTTACTGAGACTCTCATCTGTTTACCTAAATCTTTGATGCTTTAGGCCCCATTTTTCAAAGCAGAATTCATTTTGTTCTTTAAAAGCATTGAACAAACCAGAAAATGCATCATACCATATACTGAGATGGAAAATGCTGAATTTGTGTGCTTTTTTCCCAGTAAAAAAAATTTAAAATTTTATCAAGTGACATTACATATTTTCTACAATTCAATTAAGAGTTAATAGAGATGCTAAGAAACAAGACCTATGACTAAAAACAAAGAGAAAAAAGACAATATAAACAGACCCACAGGTGATTCAGGTATTGAACCCATACATTAGTAACCCCTAAAGAGTATTTTCAAGAAAATAGGTGAAAAATCATCAGATCCCAATGACTTCACCAATGAATTCTTCCAATTATGTAAGGAATTAAGCTAGCATAACCTTGACTCTAAAACCTGACAAGTCATTACAAGAAAGGAAAATTACAGGCAAGTTTCTCTCATGAATAAAGATATATAAATTTTTAACAAATACTGTCAAATTGAAGTAAATAGTATATGAAAAAAGAATACTATATCATGATCAAATTGAGTTCATTCTGGGAATGCAAAGTTGGTTTAACATTTTAAAATTAATTTAATTCACCACATTAAAAGAAGAATTTAAAAGCTGATCATCTCAAAAGATTCAGAAAAAGAATATGATAAAATCCTATAACCATTAATGATTCTTAAAAAAAACGTCTCGGCAAACTAGGAACATAAACTTCTTGAATCTGACAAAGTATTTATAAAAAGTATCTATGAAAACATTTATACGTAATGTTATAATACTGAAAGTTATCACCTTGACTTTAGACATAAGTTCAACACTGTGCTGGAGATCCTAACCAGTGCAATAAAGAAAAAAATAGAAAAAGAAAAAGGATTAGGGATTGTAGATGAAGAAATAAAATTATCCACTTTTTATAGACAACTTGCTTGAATCAGTGGATAATCTATCAGAATTTACTTTTATTTCATTTTTATATACTAGCAACAGTTAGAAGAAATTCTTAAGAAATATACTATTCATAATAACATCAAAAATATCAATACATAGGGATACAAGACCTCTACACAGAAAACTATAGAACATTATTGTGAGAAATTGAGGAAACCCAATAGAATTAGAGAAATACATTGTGCTTAAGAATTGGAAAACTCCACGTTGTAAAGACATCATAGTTCCTCTACTGCAGTGCAAGCCCAGTCAAAATAGCAGTAGGATTTTTTTAAAAGTAAAACTTGACAAGCTTTTTCTAAAACTTACATGGAAACACAAAAGGGTCTTAGTTAAGACATTCTCGACAAAGAAGAGCATTGTAGGAGGACTTGTTTTACTAAGTCATTATAAAGCTATTTAAGAGAGTGAGTTGCTGAAGCAAGGATAAAAGAATAGACCAATGGAATAAACAGAGAGCTTATAAAAAGGCAACAGATGTAGAGGTACTTGGTTCATGAGAAAGAACTGGGGGAGATGGGAAAAGAACAGTATTTTTAATAATAATGATAATGGAAAAATTGGGTATCCATACAGGAAAAAAAATGCAAATTGATTACTATCTCATACCATACACGAAACTAATTACAGTTAAAGTATAGATATAAATGTGAATGACAAAACACTAATAATTTAGAGTGCAAGAAAGATTCAGATGTCCACTAAATTTTTCCTCAAAACTGTGACTACTGAAGACCATACACAAACACCATCTTCGGGGCGTCTCCAGATGACTTCAGGGAAATGAAAATATAACTCTTCACCGCCCCCCCCGCAATAAATCCTGCAGAATTCATCAAATGCCATTAGATAGTGGTAAGATGGGAATCCCCAGGTGGTCCAGTGGTTATGACTCCGTGCTTCCACTGCAGGGGGCCCAGGTTCAATCCCTGGTTGGGGAACTAAGATCCCACAAGCTACGTGGTGCGACCAGAAAATAAATAAATTAATTTAATTAAATAGTGATAAGGCAAGATTAGAGTTCTGGAAATTTTAATCTGGTGTGTTTGAGGGGAGTGGACCTGAAAGCGAGGAAATTAAGAAGCCCCAGCAAGATTTGGCGTGTTTGAAACTTTTAATAATATCGTTAGTTTTGAAATGGAAAGAAAGGGGCAAATCAAAAAGACACTTCAAGAGGACTTGGCCATTGGGTTGATGGTGTTGGCAAAGTGGGGAAAGGTCATAGTGACTCAGAGGTTTTGAGGCTTAATCATATCATTAACAAGGGTAGAAAATCAGACAGGCAAACTGCTTTGGGGAAGATAATGACTGAGTTTGAGATAATGGCAGGATATCCAAACAGAAATGCTCAAAAGAATGGTAGAGATAAGTTACTGGAAATAAAGGGGCCAGGCCTAGAGTGACAGAGTAGGATATCAGTAACGTCTGCGGGTAAATGACACATGGCTGGCTACTCACTGTCTGTCCCAATTCTCTCACATCTATTCACTGAGTTACAATTGTGGTGTCATCTGCGTACGCTCGGCTGGTTTTGGAGTAGAGGGGAAAGGACAGTGCTGGCATAGAGACTGACAATTCTTCAGAGGGCTGCCTGTGAGTAACTCTTAAGTCACACAGATACTAAGCAAAATTGTGAACTAAGCTTGTCTTAAGGCCTTCTAGATAAAGAGTTGTATCAATAGACCCTGGCAAACTACTCCATTATTCCACTAGCATTAGAATCTGTCACGTACTTTCTTTCATCAGTTAAGTTAACCCTCACCCAGCAGAATATTAGTGGGGTATGAAGCCTCACCTGAAGACCAGTCCACTTAATTTTCTCAGTTGAGCTGAGGAAGGACACTGGTCATCTGGTGTGGAAGAAAAGCCTCTTCATAACTCTTTTCCTATTCTCTCTGGTACAGGGATAAGGCACTAGATAAATATTCATGGCCGTGCATAATGGATGTCATTGGTCACTGTCCCTCGAATGAATGGCACCTGTATGCAAAAAAAAAAGAAAGTCATTATTTAATGGAAAAAAGTTCTAAGTGGTCCAGATTTCAGAGGACTGCATAACCATGAATATTTATGTAACACGTTATCGTTTAAAAACACTTTTTAAAATCTTTTCAAAGCTTTCTAAGTGAGCTATAAAAATTCACCCTAGCCTAGAATAGGCATGCATGCTAAGTGCCCAGAAGTGCCGTATCAACCCTCTACTACAGTTGAGGCTGTGAAGGCAAATTCTCTCTCCCCTGCTCCTATGAAATCAATTTTTCTAATTTTCTCTGTAAGAGTTCTTATTTCCACATAACTCCTTGATAACAGTTATTGCTCAAATTATGTTTTTGACCTTGAGGCCCTATTTATAGAGAATTTTTAACAGGGGGAAATACTGGGGCAAGAGAAGAAATCAAATTCCTAGCATCTCCCATAAAGACCTGCTTCAAACAAGATCAGGTCTTTATCCTTGCCTCCCAAGAGAAAATGGTTTTCTAACCCCAATAAAGAGAATTCAATAAAATAAAATAAACAAGAGTAAAGGCACGTGGCCAAACACACCTGGGTTAGGCATACAAATCATTGCCCTAACCAACTAACCATAACTTTCACGGCCGGTTTATGATAGTGATAAAGGCCTCAGTGATGGGGGTGAGTACAGAGCCCTAAGCTATTGCATGAAATCTGTTTATGGCTCAGAGCAGAGGTCAAGAGCTTTTATGCAAGGACTCAAACCACATACATGCTTTAATGTACTAAGAAATAACCTTTTCCCGTACCCCTGCATCCACTTAGAGACTCTGCTCTGCCCAAACTTCTGGAATCCCCATCACTCAACATCAGCTGCTTGGACCAACCAGGGATGGACCCCTTACCCATGTGTGACCAATCGGAATTCTCTTCCAGAAAACTCGTGCTGCGAAACGGTTTGCTACACGGATCAAACTGGAAGGTCAAAGAGACATGGGGCCGAGGCTTTCATTCTGGAACAGTTATAGGAATCCAGTGTTCAAAGAGAAGAGTAAAGTAGGTGAGAGGTGCTGCGAGAAGATACCACGTAGCCCCAGAGGGACAAAGTCAGCTGCATCTGGACTCTCCACAAAGAAGCCAGCCTCTACTTTGTGCAATTGTAATCCACGATGTCCACCTTGAAATTCTGTCTTCCTACTTGTCCCAAAATGCAAAAAAACAAAAAGCCCTGCAAGAAATATAACATCATGCCAACTTTACTCATTGTTAACTTTACTGTTCATTTAAAAATACCTTTTAAAACAGTTTGTAAGTTAGATATTCTGGTTTCTAACATTGAGTCATAATGCAGAGCCTTTTAAAACATACAACACCAATATTTTCTAAGCAATGGAAATTAAACGTATCATCTTTAACCTAAAACAATGTTTTATAAATGTCAAAAATCTCTCTAAAATTGGAATATTAAAAGGGCAGCCTATGCAAAGTGCAGTTTGAAATTTAGCTCTGCTATGGGTCCAGATATTCAGAAAAAAAAAAAATCAAAGCTACTGATTCACTGACATTAAGGAAGGAGTCATTTCCCAGAATGAGGTGTAAGTAATACATCCGAATTGCTGGAAGAGTGAAACGTCTTGGAGTTAAACACAAGAAAAAGCCTTATCCCTGCAATCACACTCTATCATTCAGGTTTTCTGGGATCATGCCTGCCTTGAGAAAAATTTTTCTACTGCTTATACATGCCAAGTCACAAGAATTTCACTCATCTATAGTTCATTAACCACTTACTGAGACCAACTTGGCGGGTGGTTTGGGAAAACGGTGCAACTAACAACCTCTTCCCTTCCTTCTTCTTTCCTTCTGCTTGGGGCAGCACCTGCATGCTCTATTTTCTTGTTTCCCTGAGAATTTCACCTCTCAGTTATTTCACCTTGATCAGTCTCTCCCTGCCGATATATATATCCTCTGTATTCACTCACTTTCTTCCTTTTTCTCTACCAACTATGTCCCCATTACCTTGGAAGATTTCTCTCTGCAGCCCAGGGCCAAGTTCACCAGTTTGCAATCTTTGCAGTTGCATAGGTCTCTTGGCTAGAAGAACATCCTGCCTGGTTTAATGCTCTGCACTCACTGTTTTGAACTAATGGAACCGTGGAGCATGCATATGAGCAGAGGAGATGGCAATATGCATGTTTATTGTTCATTGCCACCCCATTCACATGTAACACTTGTGACGTTCCACAAGCACAGGATTCCAGTGGACACATAATGCATGGAAGTTCTGCAAAACTCAAAGTGAGTACAAGGTAAGTGTTTTAAGTCTGTGACTGAATAAGTGTGGGCACTGACAGCCCTGAAAGACCACATGAACCAGAAGTTCTTCTGCAGAAAGAAGAAAACATCCAAGGAAACTTATATTCTTCCTTACTCATCTTACTTCCTTGTATTAGGCAGTTATATTTAAAATGATGACATCGAAGGAAAGGAAAAGATAGGGCAACTGTAATTACTTTACTTTTCAGTCCCTCCTAACTCACCAATAAGATGAAGACCAAGTTTTGGTAGACTATCAAGACCTGGCGCACATCAAGATTGGAATAAAAACAGTTGAGTTAGTTTTGTGCAGTGTTTCTACAAAATATTGTACATGCTCACGTAGGAGCTATGAAATTCGAACTGTGTGATTTTGGTGATTTCACATATGAGTTAAATGCTCTCATGCTTGCATTTAAAACTGAACAATCTAAAGGGTAAAATTCATGCCAATGATTTAAGATTTTATTTTTCTTTACTTAGAAGGACATAAAATGTCCTTCAAATATTATGCTTGATACACTGAATTTGTTTCATGATTGGAAATTTTGTTAATGTTGATTTAGCCAGTTTTGAAAAAGAAAAGTTTCAAATTTTGCACCACGATTCAGACATTTCCCGCTCATATTCTTGTTTCTGTAATTACTACAAGAAATAGTAGTAAAGACTAATTGTCATTTTTCGTCATTCATTTCCTAGAGACCCCAAAGATTAGATGTTTTCTATGAAATTATCCTATGAGAATTGAAAACAAGTTCTAAATACTCTTCATCTCTAAGAATCTTATTGGTCTTCATTCAGTAAGAAGAGTTAGGGATTTTATTAAAAAGGAAAAGAAAAATAGAAAATGATAAAAGTGAAGAGAACTCCCTCTAGTCTCTATGTCAACTGTGGTCCCACTGAATAACTATTTTTCTGTGTATTAAATGCATCTTTTCCACTTCATCTTTTGCATGCAAAATCTTCTCAGATGGGATTATCCTAACTTGAGACTGGCAACAGAAGCGATAAGCAACTATTTGGATTTTTGGGTCACAAGCTCAATACAAACCAGCTTTGCCTGTCTTGAGTTATATTCTTGGTACCCTTTATTACTTTATTTTTTATCCCTTTTATATTTTATTATTATATCTCCCTACCATGTAGGGGAAGTAGTTTATAAAAGGATAAGTACATATGTAATTTAAATGATGTTTTGGTAAACTCAACATTAGATTTAAAAAATTACATTAATATGAGAAAGCCTTCTTTAAGCAAGATGATTTTTCTGACATGTTTTGCTTATAGAACACGTGTACTTCTTACAAAAGAACTGTCACAGATTGTAAGATAAAATGCCATCATCTCTCTTATTGAAACGTCAGTGTTTATTTGCAATAATTGTTTCTGATAAAATCTTCATTTAATTCTCATGTTTTTAGAGAATGGTTGTTTATTTTTATGAATACTGTTTTCCTCTCAAAATGCTATTGGATTAAGCTTATTTCCCAGGTTAATAACTTTTATTAAAAATTGTTTTTTTGGGTTGTTAGTATTTTACAAAAACGACCTTAGAGCAGAGACTTACTCTGACACTACTATAGTCAATGTTCATACTGAGACACTATGAGGGAACACTAAATGATCAGACATTGCATTCTCAGAAGTCTATAGTATGGAGATTATCCCACTGTCATACAGCAACGACGACAAAACGGCAAGCATCCAGTGGTTTCTGAGCATCTACTATGTATCAGACTTCTTTTTATAAAAAGTTATCTCATTTAATCCTCACGATAATCCTGTGAGATAAAATGAAATTCTAGGACTAATCCCGATTCCAGAACCACTCCACCCGCGCCAGCACCCCGTTTCAATTGGCACATTACCCTGTGTAAACTGTATTTCAGTATCCTTTGTGTAAGTTAAAAAGGTCTAAGTGGGAGGAAGTTGAGGGGTCCCTCGAGCCCTTAACAGCTAATGGCCGCGGTTCTTTCTAGAAATGCAACAAACTCGGAAACAGGGAACGAAATCTTCAGTGCTTCCGAGGAGACCCTGTTACTTTTATCGACTGTTTTAATCCGAGCAGCAGCCCTAGTGCAAGGGGCCTGGTTTTCCCTACACCACTGGTGACCCGGCACCGATGGGCTACACTCTTCCTTCCCGTCTATGGGTCTCAGATTACTTATGTGTGAGATCAGAAACTTGGATAAAGTTTTCTTTGACTTTACCTGAACTAACTCGAGGTGAGAGGAAGTGAAAGGCGGCACCTGGAAAGAGAAGTCAACCATCCTCTCATGGTCTGGGAGGGACAGATGTATAGCGTTAAACTCGGGGGCCGACAGCTGAGAGAAAGAGCCAGGCCGCAGCTGAGATCCATACTCCCAGGCCCGCAGTCAGAACCGGGTAAGCGCGCGTCCCTTTTCCGGAAGCCACGCCCGCTCCTCCAGCCTGGTTCACCCCCACGCCCCTACCACACTCCCGGCCTCGGCGGCGAACTACATTTCCCAGAATGTAGTTCGGTCATGCGGCCGCCTCGCAGGGCGCCGAGAAGCGCCTTGGGTGACGCCATCAGCCAGCGCCACGTTTAGACTACCCTGATGTCGTGGCGCTTTAGGGGAAGAAGTTGGTGTTTCGCCGTGCCCCGGTACTGAGGACGCAGTCCGGGTGACCCCTGGCCTCTTCCCACCCCTCCGCCCGCCTTTTCCCCCGCTCCTCTGGCAGGATGAGGCGTGCAGGCCTGGGTAAGAAGAGGGCTGAGATTCTAAGTTCGGGGGCCCTAGAACTGGCCGTGCTGGGCGCGGGGACCGGAAGGAAATCGGATCTGTTTCGTGTCTCTGGAATCTGAACCAGAGAGCAGGGTGTATGGACGGGTCTTTGGAGGCGATACCAAGTGGAAACACACCATTTGTCCGAGATCCTGGGGCGTTCCTTAAGTTTAGTTCAGTCCCAGGTATGGATGGTAGGTTTACAGAGAGTAGTGGAGGACTGGAGGTGAGGTATGTACAGGTGCCAACTCAGTGATGAGTCTTTTAGTGTTATTGACGGTCTGAGCGTGATTATGGAAATTGCTGTCTTCGGTTTCTTTTTATTGGACCTGATGTTAGTTTCTTCAGAAGCGAAGTTTGAAGAGTGAGTGTTGCATGCACAGCACACTAATAATCATCATATTAGCCTGGTTACAGTGAGTTACAAAGGTAAACGTACGTATCATTACTGTTAAAGGCCGTTTTACCCAGAACAGTTCTTATCTGAGCCTTGTTCCACTGGTAAGACGGTAGAATGTAGTAATTCTTCGTGACTTAGCATTTGTTCTTGACCTTTTAGCTTAGGAAGAAGGTTCACCAAGCAGCAGGAACAAATTAGGCACAAGGACTTATAATGGGCTATTATAACACAGAGCCATTAAAACAGCATTTTCTGGTTCTGAAACTATTAAGAGATAATTGGGAAAAAGAAAAAACCTGCCAAATCAGTGTATAATATACCTGAAAAAATATATGAAATATTGAAAAAAGATAATGTTACCTTTTTTAGTTCTTATAAGATGGAAAAAGAAAAAAAAAGTTTTCAAGTGTCAGGTATTTAAAGTTAGTGAAAGTTGCCAGTAACTCTAGGCATGTACATTCATTAGTAAATTGTAGTATGAGAAACAGCTTTTGAAAAATGTAGTTTTTGTGAATACTTGGATCATAGAAGGAAAGTTGGCCAAATAAATTGTAGAGAAAAAATATAACTCATTTTGAACAAGGTTAGTTTTATATGCCTAAATGTTTTTCCTTTTTATCATTACTAATGACAGCAAACATTTATTGTGTACTTGAGTAAGCTCTAGGTATACAGTCGTTTGTAGCTCTGCTTGTGTTCCCCAAAGCTTCCAATCTAGTTGAGGAGTAGAAATATGTACAAAGATAAATTATAGTACAAGGCGGTAGCTATACAACCAAATACCAAATAAGTTGTACAGGTAGTGAATGTCTCGGGGATTTCACAGATAGAGCACTTGGTACTTTGTGGAGACATAGGACCTTGAACTAAAGCTTAAATAATGAAGTGTAGGAGAGGTAATTTCCAGTTGGAAGGATGACCCTTTCCCCCCAGAAATAGTTGTAGGGCTGGAATCTAGAATTATGAATGATGTGTTTTAAAGGATTATGATTAAGCCAATTTGGTTGAAGTAGGAGACATAGAACCAGAACCAACCACATTGTGTAGACCTTTGAGTGCTAGGCCAAGGAATTTGGATCTCATTGGTAGGTCTTTTGGCCCCTTTGAATGTTTTTGTGCAGCAGTGTGCCATGATAAATTGCAGGAAAGGGACTAGAGAAATGATGGTTCTGAGCCCTGACTGTACATTAGAATCACCTGGAGAGCTTTTAGGGCTTTGATACCCGGACCCCAGCCCAGACTAATGAAATTACAATCTCTAGAATAGAGTGGTTTTTTGTTTTTAAGCTCCCCTGTAGTTGAGAGGAGGAAAGGTGATGTATCAATTGCTGTAATTTACATTGGTGTGATGTGACATGATGTGACAGGAGCTTTTTTTTTTTTTTAAAGGATCAGTCTGTATTGACCTGGAACTTTAAACCAGGGATCGTGAATCAGTAGATATTCATGTGGAGAAGCTTCCACACTTCACATGTCCCTCTCGGTGATTTGGTTCAGTTATTGATAGAAACTATCCAAAAGCAGCATTTGTCTAATGGACAAAGTCTGAGGATCATCTTTGGCACCCATTAGCTTTCCTACAACTTTTTATAGCAGTTAAGTCACACAAAGAATAACAACTCCTAACATTTTATTTTATTTTATTTATTTATTAATTAATATTGGTAGTGAATGATGGTGTGAGGGAAGATTAACTCTTTAATAGAAGAAATGTGCCTTGAAATACTTCTGAGAATTTCACTTTTAATAAATGGGACAGTATTGAAGAACTCTAAAAATAAAATTAAGATAGGGAAAAATAACAATAAAGGAAGTGAGACAAATAGCCATTAATTTAGAAATGAATTCCTTGGTTGTCAAGTGGTTAAATTCATCCAGTCAGTAATGACTTATTGGACAAACGTTATATATCTAGGACCTTAGTCACATAAAATATGAAGACATTTTTCTTTTCTGTAAGGATTTTGGTCCTTATTAGAGTTTGTACAGACTATCATTGATGAATAGGGTGAGAATGCATTGTTTAAATGATTATTTTAATCACTGAGTGGAGGAAAATATTATGTCTAGTCACCTGAGTCCTTAACTTTTATAATGGCACACTTAGCTTTGTGGATAGTGTGTCAGCAGTTGAGGGAAAATTTGGGGAAAGCGACTCCTCCCCAGGAACATACTCATTTAGCATTTTGTTGTGGTTTTTGTGGTGGTGGAGATTGTGTGTCTGCTGCATGTAAAGTACTTATTAGGTACAGGGGATATAGAAGAAGGTTGAGACACTGCCTCACTGCCTCTGTCCTCAAAGAAGCCTGTGACCCCACTGCTGACAAAGGCAGGCACATTCAAAGTTGAGTAACAGTGAATTCAGATTCTGTTCATTAATTAGTTAATTTACAAGTATTTACTGGGTGTGCCTTACTGGGTGTGTGTATATTTGTGGGGGAATCTATAGCCACGAGCAGAACAAATTTACTTTCTGCCCTTGGAGTGCAGTCTAGAGTGTGATATTAGTGTTACATATAGTCAGAGCTGTAAGAATTCAAAGGAGAGAGTTTTGCTCTTTAGAGAAAGTGAGCTTTGTGCTGTGCCTTGAAAGAGCTTTCTGTTCACACTTTGACCTTTCTTCAACAACCAGTGCTGCCTGCTACTTCCTGCCCTTCCATATGTTACTGTCACTGCCACTCCATCCACTCTTTGAGTTTATGGAGACCTTTAGTTTCTGTATCATCCCTTTCCTCCATATTCTCAGGCTTCTGTTAACACTACTTCAGTCCTTGTCCAGTTGAATTCCCATAATCCATATATTCACCCAGTCTTTTTGCAAGGAATCTCATCCTCTTGGGGCTCTGTTCTTCAGCAGCCCCAACACGGTAAACCTCCAACTCTTGATCAGCCCAACCATCCAGCGTTTCATGGGCTAACTTAGGCTGATGAGTTCTTCTGGAGAAAAATCACACTACAATATATTGCCTCAGCCAGGATTGCTTTATCCCTGTAGTAATCCTGTATAACCCTAGTCACTTTCCTCCATTATTCTCTTTACTGTTTATTCCCCCAAATGATCACCATTCTTCAAAGACAGGCTTTTCTCTTTTTTACTGAGAAAATTGTCAATAGTTTAAAAAAAAATGCGGTTAGATAACACTGTCAGCTGTGCTTTCCTCTCTCAATCCTCCAACATGTTAGTATATGTATTCACTGTTCAAGGCTCACTCTCCCTGTTTGATGGCCTGATGAATATCAAGTACTATATTAGGCAGTGGCTTGGACTATAGTCCTGTATCCCAATGCTATTCCCTAGAAGATGAGCTCCAAAAAGTGGCACCTAGAAAGAACAATGAATCTGATACATGGAGTTTCTCAAGTATTTGTTGAAGAATGAATGAGTCCCTCTCTTAAATCTCAGCTAATATTCTCCAAGTTATTCCAGCACTTTTCTATTTAAAAGAAAGAGATGCTAGTAAAGGACCCTCCCTCTGCCATGAACTTCATCCTGCTGTATTATCCTCTTTCTGCCTTTCTCTTCATAGCCAAGCTTCTTCCATACGTAGTTGATGTTATGATACTTTTAGATTTTTTTTTAAACTGTGTAGTTCTAGGGAGCAGGAAATGTGTCCAGAATCTCCTTATATATCAGTGCCTATTTCAGTGTCTTGTGGGCAATCAATATGCAGTCAACAAATGCGTTTTGAACTGAATTCAGTATTCTTTGCTTAAGAGAGGGTATTAGAATTGTTCTAATCTCTATTTGGTTATTAATTTTTAAAGTTCATTTGGAGTGTGAATAATAGACATACATGGTCTGCAACGCCCTCCAGGGGTCTTTTTCGGTTCTTTCTTGTCAAGGTTTCAAAAGTTTTTGCTGCAACTCTGCTTGTGACTCTAATCCTTGCAGGTGAAGGAGTACCTCCTGGCAACTATGGGAACTATGGCTATCCTAATAGTGGGTATAGTGCCTGTGAAGAAGAAAATGAGAGACTCACAGAAAGTCTGAGAAACAAAGTAACTGCTATAAAATCTGTAGGTATAAAGCACATATTATATACTTTTTAATTTGTGTATTTATATATACATGTATATTTTATACTTATAAAATATATACTTTTATTGGTATCATACTAAGGAATTCAGTTACAAAATAGTGTAGTTTGGTGATATGAGCTTTTTTTCCCCAAATTTAACAATTCAGAGATAATAAAGCACCTATGAAACTAGATAGCCCAAATCACCTAACTATGTTCTACAACTGTCATTCACGC